CCCCTTATGTAGTAATCGTCATGCCTTACAGATGTTTAAAATGTTAACTAAAAATAAAGAAAAAAATTCTTAAAAATACATATATTATCAGAGGGAATAAAGATACAGTATTGAATATGTATATAAGTAATTCTTCAGGCAGAGCTTGGTCGACTTCTTCCATGCATGACGTGTCATCTCCTTCGAAGGGTGGCATTTCTTCAGGCACAGCAGCATTAGTGTCATCAGCAGTAGGGTCATCTTCATGGATACCCAGGCCAAGTTTGATCATCCTTAGATTCTGTTAGCATGTGTCCGGGGATCTTCCAGACTAAACCCAGAAGGCAGGAGTGCAGTCTCGTAAAGCAATATGATCAAATTCTTCACAGACTTGTCGTTCTTGTCAGCCTCTGCCTTTTGCCTTAAGGTCTCAGTAATGGAATGATCAGGATTGATCTCCAGGTGTTTCTTGGCAGCCATGCGGCCCATTGTGGAGTTGTCTCTTAAGGCTTGCGCTTTCATGATTCTCTCCATATTTGCTGTCCAGTCATGTGTGCTTGTGACAATGCAGCATGGGCATGTTACCAACTGGTTTGAGACAACTACCTTCTCCACTTTTCCCCCAAGATATCTTTCATGATTTTGCAAAGGTTTTCAAACTTTTTTTTTTCTCTTCCTGTTTCTTTTTTTGTTCTTCATCTTCTGGAAGTTCTAAACCCTCTTGGGCGACTAACACTAAAGTCTTCCCCTTAAACTCCTTCAGCTGTTGGACACAGTACTCATGGATAGGCTCGATCATATATCACTTCTGTCCTGCTTCTGAAGATGTTCTGTGAAGGCCGAGTTAGATAACTGGTCCTTGGCCTCACCTGTGATTTAGTAGGTAAATTTCTGGTTTTCCTTCATTCTGGTGCAATAATCCTTCAGGGATATCATCTCATCACCAGAAGCAGATGCGTAATATCTTAACGGCACTGAAAGCTTCCTACGATTTTGAGAGTCTTCATGAATTCTAAGCTTCATATTTTTAGAAAACTGCTCATAAAACTTTTTGTAGCTCTCTTTATCTTCTGCCAGTTTAGTGAAGAGCTGTAAGCATTTTTTTGATCAAACTCTGTTAACTTTCAGCATTTTACTTTGTTGAAACATCTCACGGGAAATATTTAGAAGGAGATCCTCAGAATCCACCACCCTTCTATGAAATTCAGATATTCAGGGATCAGTTCCTTACAACTGTCTATGATGAATACTCTGCTTACATACAATTTAATGTTGTTACTTTTCTTCCTGTCTTCAAACAAGTCAAAAGGAGTACATCTTGGAACGAAAAGAAGAGCTCTGAATTCCAACTATCCTTCAACTGAGAAGTGCTTCACTGCCAAGTGATCTTAGTCAAGCTCTTGTAGAATTTTCCATACTCTTCATTGGTAATATCATCAGGATTTCTGGTCCAAGTAAATTTCATTTTGTTGGGTTCTTCTTGATTAATGTACTTTACCTTAACCTCTTCCTCCTCCTCCTCCTTCTTCTGTCACCATCTTTCTTTTCTTCTTCATCAGAGCCAACATCTATTTCAGGTTTGTCATCAGACTCCTTTTCTTCTTTTTCTTTCTCTTCCTTTTCTTCAGCCTCATCATCACTGACTTCTTTATCACACTCCTCCACAAAAAGAGTAATGGGATAGCCAACAAACTAAGAACGTTTCTTCACAATCTTCTTTATTCTTCTTTCCTCTCAGTACTCAGTTTGGTCTTCTTTCAGATGCAGGATAAACTTAGTCCCACAACGCATGGGTTTGCCTGTCAGTCCTAACCGTGAATGAGCCCCCTGCAGAGGACTCCCAGGCATACTGCTCATCATCATTATGTCTGGTGATTACAGTCACTTTCTCAGCAACCAGATAGGCAGAATAGAAACCAACGCCAAATTGGCCAATCATAGAGATATCTGCACCAGCCTGCAAAGCTTCCGTGAAAGCTTTGGTCCCCGACTTAGTGATAGTGCCAAGATTATTGATTGAGTCGGCCTTCATCATTCCAATCCCAGTATCCACTATAGTGAAGGTTCGACCTTGTTTGTTTGGAATGAGATTAATGTGCAGTTCCTTCCTGGAATCTAGGTTACTGGGATCTGTCAAGCTTTCATATCTGATTTTGTCCAGTGCATCCAATGCATTTGAAATAAGCTCCCTCAGGAAGATCTCTTTGTTGGAGTAGAAAGTGTTGATGATCAATGACATCAACTGGGCAATTTCTGCCTGAAGGCAAACGTCTCAACCTTCTCCTCTATGGGTTGGTCTTGGGTCTGGGTTTCCTCAGGCATCTTGGCAAAGGACTCCACAGTATCTGCATTGCAGCAGCACCTGGATGCGGAAGCAACTCTCAAACTTTTTTAATGTGGGGGAAAAAAAGTGGGCCCTGTTCTTAGGAAAATTGCAGGGCCAAAGAACTATTCAGAATCACAGTTTTGGGGGCCAGCCTCACAGCCCAGTTGTTAAAGGAGCTGGATCCTACAGGGTCAATAGCAGTTTGAATCATAGCCACTGTGACTTGAAGAAACACATTGAGCAAATATGCATGCATACCCCAAATCCCAACAGGATGGAGAAATAGAGAAGGCACTGCAGCACAATCACACCCCATTGGGGGATGCTTCCTCTCTCTCTTTCTTTCTCTCTCTCTTGTCAGCATATATGCATTATGGCAATTAAAAAACGATATATTGAGGGACTGGCAGGTGGCATGGTGGTTGAGAGCACTGGACTCCCACATGGCTGACCATGGTTTGAGTCCCAGACCCAGTGGCTTGCTTTCTCACTTTGTCTCTCTCTCTCTCACTCTGTCTCTCTCTGGTCAAATTAAAATAAAATAAAATAAGTTCAACAAAATAATTCTTTAAAGAATTGGGTCATTTTTGCTTAGAGAAATATAGAAAAATACTTTGTGACTTTCCTGATGACCTAATAGCTTTTGATGAAATATCTCAATTTTTTCTCAAGGATAAATACCTTCACATGACTGTATGATTTAGGTGTATAATTCAGTGCTTCTCTTTAGTTTCCATACCACCTTGATTCTACTGTTATAGTAAGTGGCACTTTATTTAGTAATAATAATAATTATTATTGAGAGGTCTCTCTTGTAGGGTGTGTGTGCTCGCCAGAAAGACAGAGAGAGACAGAGAGACAGAAAGTGAGAAATCACACCCAAGGGGGGAAGGCAACACCGCAATCCCTTCTCCTCCATTCTCCCCTTGGGATCTTGGGCATGCACGCACACATGCCCTGCGTGAGTTTAAGCCATGGTCTGGGACTCGAACCACGGTCACAACATGGGAGTCCAGCAACATAGCCATTACACCAAATGCTGGTCCCTATGTAGTAATAATTACTAATATGTAGTCCACTGCTGGCCATATCTGTTCATTCTTTACAGTGGGCTTGGGTTTGTTTATTTTAAAAAATGTTATTTCTTCCATTGGGGGGGCACATAAACATAGGCTCCCCAACAGGGTTCTGCTGCTATGAGCCATCCCCAGTCTCACCTGGCCCAGATCATGGGCATGTGCTCGTGTCCTCAATGTGCTCAGAGAGATCCTGGGATGCGAATGCAGGACCTTTCCCACGTGGGTCCGGTAGTGTTGTGCTACCTCCTGGCCCTAGGGCTTGTATTTGATTTTGTATCTCTATCTTCCAAGCACATATAGCATAATAAAATGTTTGTTGATTCAAATTATGCCCCAAATCGGTGTTTTTCACTGAACTGTACACTGGGTGAGAGAAACACAGAGGAATCATGAAGGGTGAGTGAAAGTCTGCTTCCTAGGGGTATGATTCTTTCTTCTTTATTCATAATATTATAGGAGACGTGCACATGACAGAGAGGGAGAGAGAGGGCAAGTAGAGAAAAGGGGAGGGAAGGGGAGAGGAGAATAAAGGAGGAGAGGATCCCCTCGCCAGTCCTTCCCACAGTTGGCTCTTGGATATGTACACTGAGCATATTTCAGGCCCACTGGGCTAGAGAGATCCGAACCTTGGTCACCAAGAGAAAAGGGGAGGGAAGGGGAGAGGAGAATAAAGGAGGAGAGGATCCCCTCTCCAGTCCTTCCCACAGTTGGCTCTTGGGTATGTACACTGAGCATATTTCAGGCCCACTGGGCTAGAGATCCGAACCTTGATCACCATGTGTGATCTGGCTTCTCTTGAACATTATATTATTCTTACCTTTTGGAACTTGTCAATAGGCTGAAAGTTATTAAAGGGAGCCTGGATATGGGAAGATGATTTTTTCTTAATGTTTGAAGCTGGCAGAGGCCAAGATGTCTCAACCTTCTGAAACAGGACGTGGGACTGGTAATTATTATAGAGAACACACCTCAAGTCTGCTCCTTTCTGACTTTTGCAGTGGAGCAGGTGTCCGTGAGGCGCAGCAAGCTGGCTGGAGGAACTGCAGGTTGGCAGTTACGGATTAGAGCCAGACTTTGCAAACGTTTTCTATAGTCACATACTGTTTTAGGTTTTCAGGGCTATACGGTATCTGTTGCAAAGATCCAATTCTGCCTATAAGCGCAAAAGCAGCCCTAGGCAATATGTAAATATAATATTTGCTTATGGATACTAAAGTTTTAATTTCCGATAATTCTCACGTGTTACAAAATATTCCTTTTTTTTTTCCAACCATTTAAAAATATAACGGCTGTTCTTGGCTTACAAGTCGTACAAGAGGAAGGCTAGATTTGGCCGCGGACCACACTTTGAAAACCCATGATCGGCGTCAGGCCCGCGCCGCCCTCCAGCTGGTTCCCTCGGTCAAGTTGCCTAAACTCTCTGAGCCGCGGGTGCGTGCGTATTTAAGGCTGGGGTGCGGGAATAAAGCCTAAGGCACGTGCGAGCACTTGGCAAACCCGGCGGAGATACGCCAATCACCGCCGTTCTCCCACCAGTTCCCGCCCAGCGACCGGTGCGCAGGCGCGGAGATGGACGGGCCGCCCAGACCGGAGCGCGTGGCCGTGTCACGTGGGGTCGGACGCGGCCCTGTTTCCCTGGCGACGGTTTCCCAGCTTCGCGCCGCCCCCGCAGCCGTAGCCGCGCCCGACCGCCATCCCTCACAAGACACACTCCGGGTGAAGAAGCCATGGCCACGTCGACAGGCGTGACCTTCTCCATGGGCACATCCTTCTCTGTGCCCGACGGCTTGCCTGACACTGAGAAGACGGCAGGGGAGGCGGAGAACACGTATATCCTGCGGCCCATCTTCCAGCAAAGGCGGGTAGCGGGCGGGAGGTGGCGGGGGCAACCTCCAGAGTGTTCTGTCGGGCGGGCAGAGCGAGTCGCCGAGCCTGCGCGTGGGAGAGGGGCGCGCGGCCTGGCTGCGGCCCGGAGGGGCGGGGCCGGCAGCTGGCAGCGACGTGCGCCTGCGATGTCGCGGTTCGCCTCCGGCGGCAGGGGGCAGCAGAGGACCCGACCTGCAGCTGCAGGGAGGTCGCAGGGAGCTGCTGGTTAATCTAAGTTTAAGAGGCCCAGGTCGTGTGCACAGGAGAAAGCGGATGGATAGACGCGAGGGACAGAAAACAGACGACTTACAGCTAATGCCCCTGAGCCGTGACTGAGGGGTACTGTGAGCACGTGCACCGGAATGTGCTCACTCCTGTACATGAAGTCCCACCCAGGTAGCATCTCGGGGGCTTAGAATAGCTTTTTCCTCACAAGAGAATCAGATTGCTGAAGGTACAACAGGATGTGAGCAGTGAGAGAGAGACGGTGAAACTGACACGGAAGTTTTTGGCTTGAGCAACTAGAAGAATGGCATACCGTTGACTGAGATGGGCAAGGCTGCAGGAGGACCTAGGGCAGGGGGAGTAGAATGCATGTTAAATTCGAGTTGGTGAGAGACGTCCAGATGGAGAGGTCTAGGGTGTAGCTATGAATTTGGGATATGACTTGTCTTAATTTGTTCATATTTCTTTTATAATAAAACATATTTAAAAAGGATTAAATGGTAGTAATGAGAAAATGGGAGAGTTTGAGAAGAGAAGGTAAGTTGGAGTTTTGGAGTTATCAATGAAATGCTCCCAAATTGTTCCGTGTAGGTTCAGACCTTCTGTGGTTAAAGACTGTATCCATGCTGTGCTCAAGGAGGAACTGGCAAACGCCGAATATTCTCCGGAAGAAATGCCTCAGCTTACAAAACATTTGTCAGAGCACATTAAAGATAAATTAAAAGGTAATGATAACTGGAAATGACTCGTTCCTTCTGAACACTGAATTTTGCCTATGTGTCCCCTTCATCTTTTTTTAGAGAGGTTTTTGCTATAGGGCGCGTGTGCTCGCCAGAGACAGAGAGACAGAAAGTGAGAAATCACCCCCCAGGGATGGCCACGCCGCAATCCCTTCTCCTTCGTTCTCTCGGGATCTTGGGCACACACGCACAGGCGCCCGATGTGAGTTTTAAGCCACCGGGTCCGGGACATGAACCGCAGTCAACTACATGGGAGTCCAGCAACATAGCCATTAGGCTAACTGCTGATCCCGCCTTCTTCATCTTTATTTATTTATTTAATTGCCAGAGAGTGCAGGTATCCTCCAGAGAGAGAAAAAAATACATATGTTCACTCACATATGCCCGTAATCATTTTCCTTCATCTTTCTATCCTGTTGGGATTTGGGGCACACACACAACAAGCCTGGCATGTTTTTCAAGCTGTTAGGGCTGGGGTTTACCCTGCGATTGGTCCTGTGAAAGCTGGCTCCAGCGTACTGTGCCTAACCACTGTACTATGGGATAGGCCGCTTTCCTCATCTTTAAACCAGCTGTGGGTTCTCTTGAAAACAGCCTTTTCTTCACTGTTTACTCTTCTGTAATTATTTGGCAACTTTTACTCATGTAGATTTTTGTAGATGGTGGGAAAAAGGAAAGATGTGAAATAAAACATTGTAGG